AAAATAAAAAGCCAATTATAATTACATAAATTAAAAAATAACAATATCATTGACATGATGTGTCTCGAACTCTTACCAGCCGCATGATAAATATTACATATAATTGAGTGTAAATTTAGTTTGTTAATTTAATTAGAGCCAGCGTATACTAAAGTTTAACTACAAGAATATTGGTTTGTATAAAATTGTATCCTTATTTAGCCAACTACATTGCTTAACAAAAAAAAGATTTATATAAAATATTTAAGGCCCGAAATAATTTAGTAATGAAACCCGTTATTGGCCTAGATTCTAGATTTAGAACCTAGATATAGCTAGGTCCACAATCTACGACTGGCTTTAGTCTAGTTCTTCAGTAGCTCTAGATCTAGATCTAAATAAATTCCTTGTATTCTCGAATTAGATTAACTTGAAGCTAGAAAGCAAATATTTAGAATATATATCAAATATTTAACGACGAAAATATTTTAATAAAAAAAATTCAACTATTGTTTTTTAATACTTTTTTGTTTCTAACTAATAAATCTAATACTAAGTCTTATTAATTTTGGTTTGGCCTATCGGTTGAGCAAGATACGTTTATTGTATAATCAAATTTAGAGGAACTGTCAAGCGTATCCTTTTCAAAATTAATAATAGTGTTGAAAACTATAAATAATAGCAAACAGATGTATCGTTAAGCTAATAGCCGGCAGAAAATGCAGCTTAACAATATGTTAAACATTCGAATTGGCAACATATTCTTCCATGGAAGCCTCCATTTTGTAACAATAACTAAACAAAGCAAGTGACGTCATTTTGTTTTAATTAAACAAGTTTCTAAAATTGAATAAATCTCTACTTTAATTGACGTCTTTAAATAAATTATTGTTAAACAGTTTTGTAAAAAAAAAATCATTATCTCTACAAAAAATACGTATAGTACAGTTCTACACATGCTGCAGATGCACAAACTCAAAAGAAAGGACTTAAGAGATATACAACTAAAACTGTATACATTTTATTACAAAACTAGCATAATACAGAATATTTAACTAATTAATAGGATAGTTCCTAGTCAAAATGATAGCCCCTAAGTTAATCACTCATGTTGCATGGGTTAGCCTAAGCAGTAATTGCACATTTTTGTCGTTTCAATGTTCACACTTAAAAAATTGGGCAGAGTGAAACCTCAATGCACCGAATGGCTCTGCGAGATTTGTATTTTTTTAAAAACTTTTTGTTTAATAACTTAGTTATTTGTTGTTCATACGAGGTTTGCAACCCGCGCGCATCACGGTGAGTTGAAGGAATATCCACACAATTGTCGCCAGCTGCGCGCAACGCAGCGCTGACTCTCTACTAGCATGTATTTACATATCTCAGTTTAAGTAAAAAGTAAAGTTTCCCTTTCAAACCTGACGGTCTATGGGGCAAGTAAAGTAGAGTTCACTTGTTTCTGTGACCTCGGCATATGAAGAGATAGTGTGGTCAGCACTATGCCCAGCCGCCTTTACTTTCCCTAACATTAGTTAGGTACCCATCAGAGTTGGGTGGACTCAGGGACAGTCTACTGACTTGAACCCGGATTCGAACTCGAGACTAACGGGTTAGCAGTCCAACTCTCTACCGCTAGACCACTCCGTCCCTATCTCAGTTTAAAATCAAGGCGTATTTTTTTTTCTAACAGTATTGTTTATGAATAAAATATCATGTATCAAAAATTACTTACGGTTTGAAATTGTTGAAATCTGTGTTGTTTTGTTCATCGACTATTGAGAAAGTCAGTTCGTTTTTGGTGTAGTAGTGTACATCTAGATTTAATGCTGAGTATATGATATAAATACATGATTTAGTAATTTATTGATATTTAGATATACTTACTTATAGTTACTTGAAATTATTTTTCTAATTTACTAGCTTGATGATTTAAAACAAAATTACTCTCAACCTCACCTTGAAGTCAATTGAAATTGCCAGGGAGAGTAAAAGAATACAAGTCATAACAATTGTTTTTCACGATAAAAATACACATAGTGGTCTATCACGTGTAGCGCAGTATTGCATTTACATTAAATGATATATCATATCAAATCTTCACAACACCCTGACTCTACTAATCCAAATTAAAAATCTAAGTGTTTGCTAAGTTACCATTATATTACTAGTAATTATTTCTTTGACTATTTTAGCATTAATGAAACTTGAAGTAATTTTGTACTTATTTACAAACATGTTATAAAATATCTAATTTTGGTTAAGGAATATGCGTTCTGGCAACAACAATCGGAACCATTTGAAACCAGCTTTTAAGCATACTGTCGATATTTCTCGTTCCTCTCAACCAGAGGAGACCCCTCGGTATATAGAAAAAGTATAAGGGGGGGGGGGGTGCAAATCGAAAGTTTGAGGGGGGGGGGGGGTGGAAATCGAAAGTTTGTCCCCGGGTAAAAATTGGAACCCCCCCTTGAGACGATCCTGGCTACGCCACTGCTCTCAACGTCTAACTTAACCAAGTCTCGGTTTTCATGAATATCTTCATATTGCTGGACGAAGGTAGATTTTAGTTATAGTAAAAAAATGTATGCTTTTAGCATTAAATAATTTAAAAAATCAAAGTGCTTCAAAAACAAACAACTGTTTTAGAGCTAGAAAGGATCCACATTCAATACATATGACGTACCGGAGCTAGTTATGCAAGGGGGCACTGTCTAGAGCTAGAGCATCCGTTGCAGATAGAATTACAATTACATAAATAGGCCAGATATCACGTGGTCTATGTAAAAATAGGTGCCATTTGGTATCGATCTTCGTCTTCATCGTATATATTAAAGGACATTTCCAACAGCACGTATAGGTATTTCAAACTTCTTTTTCTTCTAGATTGCTGCCATTAGTGGCTTTATCGATGAGCCAACCCTGTCACGGGGTTCCACCCAGTTTTCCCTCCTCCACCAGACCCGCGGCTTATTTTTAACATATTTTCCTCACACGTCCAACCCCACGTTTCCCACCAGCTTTATTAGCGAAGACAATGTTTCTATACCGATGACGGAAGTGGGAGAAAGTGCGAACCGACACTGGCGGCTTATATTATAGACTAACTGCATACCCATGCTTTGCCAAGGTGAATCTTTTAAAAAAAATGTTCCAACTTGGGAACATAATAAAAACAAACATAACCACAACGTAAACGCAATACGCAAACACACAGGCAAACGCAAACACAAATACAAACACAAAAGGAAACACGAAAAGGAAACAAACGAAAATGCAAGCAATTTCAAACACAAATGCTAGCACAACGCAAACCCAAAAACAAATGCAAATGCAAACGCAAACACAAAAACTAACTCAAACAAACGCAAACTTAAAAAACGCAAATTTAACCTCAAACACAAAAGCAGACGCAAACACTTTATCAAATTACGCTTTATCGGGAGGGCCTCACTCAAAGAGAGCCTTTCTATCATCCTCTAATTTACTATATCTTTAAATTACACCAAAAGAAACAAATACAATTGTGATTTTAAGAGACCATGAAAACAAAAAATATAAAACTCTGCACAGAAAATAGCACAAATAATCTTAACTTTTATCTATATATATAAAATGCAATGTATGTATGTGTGTTTGTCTTTTATGCATTTCTTCACCTCTCATCACATCGCCGTGAAACTTTTGGAAGTTATACCCGTGCTTCGCAACAGTGTGGATTTGGATTTTAACTTTGAGCACCGCAATTGGGGTGGGGTTTTTTACTGCGCGGGTGGCGATTGCACCTTACGGTGCATAATGATATTCACGAAAATTACGGTAAAAATAAAATGGCGTAAAGCTCTCACGAACGTTCGCGCGGATATCCTTTCTCCTCCCCAACACCGCGGCGTAATTTAAACATCCGCAAAATTTTTTTTTTACTTTAGCTTCCGCTCCCATGTAGAGACTTCTACATGGATAACCCAGTGCGCCGAATCGAGCCATGACCGGTCAACATAGACGTCATTTAGGAGCGGATTCTAAACTGTTATTGATTAAAAATAATAATTAGTAAACAAGACGTTCAGTGTATATAACAAATTAAAGGCAGTATTTAAAGTATCAATGTTTTAACTACTACGTCGCACTTTATCACTCCAAAATGTGCATATGGATATTACCTCAGAGTTTACCGCGCTGAGCGCGGATGGGGGTCCCAGCATTGGGTGATATTTTTTTAGCGCACCGCGCTATGCGGCTGTCCGTATCCTCAGAGTTTACCGCGCTGTGCACCTGAGAATATCCGCGCATTTGGGGTGGGATAATCCTTCAGTGTCTGTATCACTTGTGTGTGATTATGGGTGTTTACAAAAAATAGTTACGGTAAAAAATAGAAAAACAACTCTCTCACGAATGTCCACCAAGACATCCCTCGTCCCCGAACTCACATCGTCATCTAAATCGCCGCCGAACAACAAGTTTACCCGGGCGTCCGCGCATAGGGAGAGGCTTCCCCCGATGGTTCCAAAATCTCTAGCGACGATTGACTGACATAATACCAGCAGCGTTATATTATAGATTTTTTCCAACACCAAAACAAACTAATAAAAAATATTTTCCCCCCATATTTAATGTTTTTTAAAGGAAAAGTAATTATATATATATATATATATATATATATATATATATATATATATATATATATATATATATATATATATATATATATATATATGATTATAATTTAACGCGTATATGTGCTTTTCTTTTGATAATATAAAAAACTGCTTACCTTTTAAACTAGAAATACAAAAACAGTTTATCAGGAATTTAGAATTTGGCTCGTTACAATGTTTATGAACTAAAACAGATATTGTTTCTATTATGTCATAGAATTTACTCTCAAAAGCTTGAAATATTATATCTAATAAATATATAGTGAAGCTATTTGTAACATATTTGTTATAACCCATACGTGCATGTCTATGAAATTGCCTTAATCTTAAATTGCATGGTATTTCAGAAACTTGCGTTATAAGAACCTCTTTAAGCAAGTATTTTAACACATTATGATGTCCATAGCCCGATGCAAGCATTACAGCGTCTAATCCATCTTTATTCACACGTTTCACATCTGCTCCACAGTTGATAAGCATTTCAATAATTTTATAATGTCCATTTTTTGATGCAAGCATTAAAGCATCGAATCCATCATTTTTCATTTGTCTAATATCAGCGCTACTGTTAATAAGCCACTCCACTATTTTGTCATGTCCGTTTATTGAAGCAAACATTAACGCATTACATCCAACTTTATTGACACGTTTAATATCAGCTCCACCCTTAATAAGTAACTGTACTATTTTGCAATGTCCATTTCTTGATGCAACCATCAAAGCATCACACCCATCTTCATTCATATGTCTTACATCAAATCCGCCTTTGATAAGTAATTCTACTATTTTGTCATGTCCATGTCTAGATGCAAGCATTAAAGCATTCATTCCAAATTTATTTCCTCGTTTGATATCAGCTCCGCCTTTGATAAGCAACTCAACTATTTTGTAATGTCCATAGCGTGCTGAAAGCATTAAAGCATCCCATTCATCTACAGCAAAATTATTTATATATGCTCCTCTTTTAATAAGCAATTCAACTATCTTGTCATGCCCATAGCGTGCTGCAAGCATTAAAGCATCCAATCCATGGTATTTCACTTGACTAAAATCAGCCCCACCGTTGATAAGTAATTCAACTATTTTGTCATGTCCATTGCTAGATGCAAGCATTAAAGCATCCCATTTATCTTCATCTAAACGTTTAATATCAGCTCCGCCGTTAATAAGTAACTCGACCATTTTGTCATGTCCATTGTTTGATGCAATCATTAAAGCATCGCATCCATCTACATCCACTCGTTTAATATCAGCTCCGCCGTTGCAAAGCATAGTAAATATTTGGTTGTGTCCATAACGTGCTGCAAGCATTAAAGCATCCCATCCATCTTTATTCACTTGTTTAACATTAGCTCCGCAAGAGATGAGGAGCTCAACCGTTTTGTCATGTCCATTGTTTGATGCAATCATTAAAGCATCAAATCCATTTTTATTCACACGATTAATATCATTTCCACCATTTATAAGCAATTCGACTATCTTTACATGTCCATTTCTAGATGCAAGCATTAAAGCATCAAACCCATCCACATCTACATGTGTAATATCAGCTCCGCCGTTGAAAAGCAACGTTACAATTTTGTCGTGTCCATAGCGTGCTGCAAGCATTAAAGCATCCCATCCATCTTTTTTCACACGTGTAATATCTGCCCCACCTAGTATAAGCAACTCGACTATTTTGTCATGTCCATTTTTTGATGCTATCATTAAAGCATCCAATCCGTCTTTATTTACACGTTTAATATCAGCTCCGCCGTTGATTAGCAACGTTACTATTTTGTCATGTCCATGTCTAGATGCAAGCATTAAAGCATCCAATCCATCATTATTCTCACGTTTAATATCTGCTCCGCCTTTGATAAGCATCGTAACTATATTTTCGTGTCCATAGCGTGATGCTAGCATTAAAGCATCCAATCCATCCTTTTTCACATGACGTATATCAGCCCCACCTAGTATAAGCAACCCAACTATTTTGTCATGTCCATATCTCGATGCAAGCATTAAAGCCTCCCATCCATTTGCGTTTACACGTTTAAAATCAGCTCCACCGTCGATAAGCAACTGTACTATATTCTCATATCCTTTTAGTGATGCAAGCATTAAAGCATCCCTTCCATCTACGTTCACACGTTTAATATCAGCTCCATTTGTAACAAGTAACTCTACTATTTTGTAATGTCCTTTGTTTGATGCAATCATTAATGCATCCCATCCATCTTCATTCACACATTTGATATCGGCTCCGCCTTCGATAAGCAACTCTACAATTTGGCCATGTCCATTTAGTGAAGCAAACATTAAAGCATCCCATCCATCTACATCCACATGCTTAACATCAGCTCCGCCGTTAATAAGCAACTCGACTATTTTGTCATGTCCATTTTGTGATGCAAGCATTAAAGCATCCAAGCCATCTACATCCACACTTTTAATATGAGCTCCGCCGTTGATAAGCAATTCAACTATTTTGTGATTTCCATGTGTGGAAGCAAGCATTAAAGCATCAATTCCATTTTTATTCACACGATTGATATCAGCTCCGCCGTTGATAAACATTTCGACTATGTTGTCATGTCCATTTCTAGCTGCAATCATTAAAGAATCAAATCCATCAACATCCACACTATCATCTCCGTCTGTTTTAAGTAACTCCATCATATCTGCCAATTCGTTTTATGTTCGCAATATTTACTTCAACTCATATTTGGCCGCTTTATTCATTTATAACGTCCACCGCTTGATGAAGGTATTAAAACATCTAATTCTTCTTCACCCACGTTCAATAAGCAACATGTTCAGATATATTATTGTCATTCTATCTTTTCGTTTTATTTAAACTAATGATATGATCACCGCATTGCATTATTTTAACTTGGGACATATGCAATAATGTCTGAGTAGATACTTCAAGCCCATTATAGATAGGTTTAAAATTAAAAAAAAAAGTGACATTTGCAAAGTGCATTCTTGTCAACTCTGTTCAGAATTAGGCCTTTAAACGTATGTTTTTTCATTGTTGAACGCATCGTTTTAAACAAATGGTGCCTTAATTTAGATCGTGTTTGATGGGTCTACCTGAAAAATATAAATTAATATTTTAGTACATATAGAAAAGCAAATATTTAATTTATATCACAACAACTAAAGAGCAATCATACAAATTTTAAATTTTCAATGGAATTATACTTTAAAACGCATTCAAGAGCATTGAAAAAGAAACTATGTGGTCAGTAATTAGCCACCAAGGAAGCGCAACTAAGACATAATAATCGACAAAATATTTTATGGAGCAAACTGGTGTAAGTTTTAACTTTGCCTGAATGTGTAATAAAATAATGTATTGAATCTAAATATATAAAATCCCATGTACGTACTTCTCTCTCTCTTTCTCTCTCTCCCTCTCTTGCTCTCTCTCTCTTTCTCCCCGCATTTCCCAAGACTAAGATATCAGTTATTTCTACGATATAAGGAGAACATAGAGATAAAGATCTTTGTTTAAAAAATAATATGTTGGATGTTTTAAATGTATAACATACTTTTTATTTAAAGAAGGAAAATAAAAATAAAGCAATATTCATATGTAGAAACACATTTTAATTTATGCAACCGGAAAAGTGTTTATAGCTGTGACAAGAACGAAATAAACAATGACGTAACCTGCCAACTTAAAAAGAACTAAACATTAATGGCGTCATCTTCCAATTTTAGAATATGAAGAAATGAACTACTGTATTAAAATAAGATTCAGATCTAGATAATATAAATATACTTATCAAGGCATACGCTATGAAATGTATATAATTACTATGGTCAAACTAATACAAATTACTTTTTTTTTTAACATAATATGACCATTTAACGAAATCGTTTAAGTCTCTTAATTAGTGTGTGCATTTAATATGGTGTGTGTTGACTAATAATGTAAATACTTTGATTTTAATTTTCCTAATATGTAAATGTAGCCTATGTTATATTAAATGTGTCTGATTATTAGCTATTTAGTTATGTCTTTGTTTTAACACTAATATCTTTCGAAGTGTAGTAAGCACATAGCGTTTTGACCAATGAGCGATTTATAAATGACTTTTTTTTTTCAAAATATGCATAAAAGTAAAAATATGTAGGCCTTTAATTCACTTAACATGGGAAACAATGGCTAGTGTCGTGTGTGTGTACAACTCATCTTTTTTTTTTGGTCTCTAAATCCATAGGTCAAAGAAGCGTTTAACAGATATAAAAAGGTCACGAAAAAATATTTGTATTAATATTACTATATTTTAGATTCGTAATTTTCTAATAATTAGTTGTTTTTTATGTCTCATTTAGTTTTCCTATAATAAACGATTGAAATGCATAGAATACAATGATCTAATAGCGAATATGAATTGGTATCTTCAATGTTATTGTTAAGAAAGGGGAAGTCGTATGGGCCTTCCTAACTATCATGTGAACGTGCATTTAAATGACTTAGCAATTATACCTAAGTGTATTTATTTATGGACAATACGAATTTATTTATAGTAAAATGAACATATTTTCAATTTAAAGTTTCGGAAGTGCTTATTTCCGCTAAAGGTAGATGTACAGGAAATACGCGAAGTGCTATCTTTAGCTTTTATTAATACACATATATATATATTATAAAATTTTGGAACGTAAATATTTAAGCCTTTTACAATACTGATTCAACAGCTGCTTGGCAAAATCAAAAGGCTGGTCTGTTGAGAGATGCTGATGTCTTGTATGGTAAGACAGGTCTTTTGAGAGAGGCTGGTCTGTTGAGAGAGGCTGGTCTGTTGAGAGATACTGGTGCCTTTAAGATTTGTAAGTTGACAGATGCTGGTGTCTTGTATGGTAAGAATGGTCTGTTGAGAGAGGCTGGTCTGTTGAGAGAGGCTGGTTCTCTTAACAGATCTCAACATACCAGCCTCTCTCGACAGACAAGCCTCTCTCAACAGACCAGCCTCTCTCAACAGACCAGTCGTAACATACAATAGACCAGCCTCATATAACAGACAATAGACACCAACCTCTCTCAAAAACACCAGTCTTACCATAAAAGAGACCAGCCTCTCTCAACAGACCAGCCTCTCTCAACACACCAGTCTTAACACATAACAGACCAGCCTCTCTGAACAGATCAGCTCTCTTAACAGATCAGCCTTTCTCAACATAACAGCCTCTCTCGACAGACCATCATTTCTCAACATACCAGCTTCTCTCAACAGACCAGCCTCTCTCGACATACCAGCCTCTCTCAACATATCAAAATCTATCAACACACCATTCTTTCCATATAAGAGACCAGTCTCTCAACAGATTAGCCTCTCTCAACAGACCAGCCTCTCTCAACAGACCAGATTCTCTCAGCAGACCAGGCTCTCTTAACAGACCAGCCTCTCTCAACAGACCAGATTCTCTCAACAGATCAGCCTCTCTCAACAGACCATTCTTACCAGCCTGTCTGAACAGACAAGCCTCTCTCATCAGATCAGTTTCTCTCAATAGACCAGTCGTAACATACAATAGACCAGCCTCATATAACAGACAATAGACACCAACCTCTCTCAAAAAGACCAGTCTTACAATACAAGAGACCAGCCTCTCTCAACAGACCAGCCTCTCAAAATAGTTGCCTCTCTAAATATATTAGACTCTCTCAACATACCAGCCTCTCTCAACAGACCAACCTCTCTCAACACACCAGTCTTACCACATAACAGACCAGCCTCTCAAAATATCTGCCTGTCTAAACAGATTCGCCTTTTTCAACAGACCAGCCTCTCTCGACTGACCAGCCTTCTCAACAGACCAGCCTCTCTTAACATAACAGCCTCTCTCAACATAACAGCCTCTCTCGACAGACCAGCAACTCTAAACAGACCAGCCTCTCTTAACAGATCAGCCTCTCTCAACATAACAGCCTCTCTCGACAGATCATCATTTCTCAACAAACCACCTTGTCTCAACAGACCAGCCTCTCTCGACATACCAGCATCTCTCAACATTTCAGCCTCTCTCAAAAGATTAGTCTTATCCTACAATAGACAAGCCTCTCTCAACACACCAGTCTTACTATACAAGACACCAGCTTTTCTCAACAGACTAGTCGTAACATACAATAGACCAGCCTCATATAACAGACAATAGACACCAGCCACTCTCAAAAGACCAGTCTTACAATACAAGAGACCAGCCTCTCTAAACAGACCAGCATCTCTCAACAGACCAGCCTCTTTCAACAGACCAGCCTCTTTCAACAGACCAGCCTCTCTCAACAAACCAGTCTCTCTTAAAAGACCAGCCTCTCTCAACAGACCAGCCTCTCTCAACAGACCAGCCTCTCAAAATATCTGCATCTCTCAACAGATTAGCTATTCTCAACAGACCAGCCTCTCTCAACAGACCAGCCTCTCTTAACAGATCAGCCTCTCTCAACATAACAGCCTCTCTCGACGGACCATTCTTACCAAACAAGAGACCAGTCTCTCTCAGCAGACCATTCTTAATATACAAAAGACCAATCTTAGCCTCCAAGATACCAGCCTCTCATAAACAGACTATTTTTACCATACAAGAGAGCAGCCTCTCTCAAAAGATTAGTCATATCCTACAAAAGACAAGCCTCTCTCAACACACAAGTCTTACTATACAATACACCAGCTTTTCTCAACAGACCAGTCGTAACATAAAATAGACCAGCCTCATATTACAGACAATAGACACCAACCTCTCTCAAAAAGACCAGTCTTACCAATTAATAGAACAGCCTCTCTTAACAGACCAGCCTCTCTCAACAGATCAGCTTCTCTCAACAGACTAGCCTCTCTTAACATACAAGCCTCTCTTAACAGACCAGCCTCTCTCAACAGACCAGTCGTAACATACAATAGACCAGCCTCATATAACAGACAATAGACACCAACCTCTCTCAAAAACACCAGTCTTACAATACAAGAGACCAGCCTCTCTAAACAGACCAGCCACTCTTTCAACACACCAGTCTTTACACATAACAGACCAGCCTCTCTCAACAGACCAGCCTCTCAAAATAGTTGCCTCTCTCAATAGATTAGACTCTCTCAACAGACCAGATTCTCTCAACAGAACAGCCTCTCTCAACAAACCAGCCTGTATGAACAGACAAGCCTCTCTCATCAGTCCAGCTTCTCTCAACAGACTAGGATCTCTTAACATACAAGCATCTCTAAACATACCAGCCTCTCTCAACAGGCCAACCTCTTTCAACACACCAGTCTTACCGCATAACAGACCAGCCTCTCAAAATATCTGCCTGTCTCAACAGATTCGCCTTTTTCAACAGACCAGCCTCTCTCGACAGACCAGCCTTCTCAACAGACCAGCCTCTCTTAACATAACAGCCTCTCTCAACATAACAGCCTCTCTCGACAGACCAGCCCCTCTAAATAGACCAGCCTCTCTTAACAGATCAGTCTCTCTCAACAGACCAGTCTCTCTCAACAGAGCAGCCTCACTCAACACACCAGTTTTACCACATAACAGACCAGCCTCTCTCAATAGACCAGCCTCTCAAAATATCTGCCTCTCTCAACAGATTAGCTACTCTCAAAATACCAGCCTCTCTCAACAGACCAGCCTTTCTTAACAGATCAGCCTCTCTCAACATAACAGCCTCT